GTATTGTTTTCCATTTTCATTTCTCCCCTATTTTGAGCCAGCTTTTCTCAATTTTTTCTTATACCAAAAGCAATTGAGAAAAAGATGAATTTCACTCTTGACAAAAAACAATATAATGTGGAAAGAAACCCCAAATATATACATTGTTAATGAATGAATATTAAAACACCAGTTTGGCATGTTATAATTTATTTCTTTGTAGCAATGGATCTTAAGTGAACAAACTTTATGTAAAAGGACTAAGAGTGGATGTCAGTTGAGAAGCATACAATTTCAAATTTAATTTGAAACATTTTGTTGGAATCCAAAAATCAGCTCCATTAATCCAGAAAGAAAATTAGAACACATTTAGGCTGATGGTGCCAAACCAACCCTGTTGTTTCTCATGTCAAAAATAGAATAATATTCTTTAAGGAAAACATCACCCAGGATCCATAGAGGCTGCCCAGTTGAGGAAGACACATATGTTGGCTCAATTGCAAGGTAACAGTTGCCATTGTCCTATAAAAGAAACAAATTGATTCAGATTGTGTCCTTATTGCAGAAAAGAAGGAACATCAATCATATTTTATTGGAATCTGGATTTGGATTATTATTAAATTACATGACATAAAACATTGTCCAACTCAAGTTCCTCGCGTTATTATGAAATTGCATAGGAGTATAATTTTTGCTTACAATGACATGGCACAAAATCCATGTTATATGTACTTCAATATGAAGCTGATTCTTCAAGAGCAGCCATCTGTGTCATCTGCAAGTATTCTGATTGAATTATAGAAGGAGGATTACATATCTGATAGCTTCAAATTAAGGGATATATTTTTGTTATAAATAAAGTAGCATCAGCATAATGCTATTTCTATGTGGCATTATTATTGAGGTATGCAACATCAATTCATCTTAAAATGAAGTGGATTCCTATGCACGGAGAATTTAGAAACGCATACTTACATTGGCAACATAAGCAGAAGGAGGAAGTGGGAACTGGGAACCATTAATGAAAAAGATAATGGTAGGCATATTCTGGATATTGTTGCAGTCCACCGTATACTGTGAAAGAACAAATGTGAGGGAAGGTTAAATTGAGGCAATAAGAGGGGTCGGCCAGGTTACAGCAGCACTATAAACCCTCATCTCTTTTCTTCAGTCTACCAAAATTGCCTCTAAACTGTGCAAAATGTCTTTGGGTCAATGAAATGATATTCAGATTATTTATGGCCACTAGAGTGACAGAAAAAATATTTATTTTTGCATTTTTTTTGAGTAGACTTAAATGTTATACTGCTGAGCTTACTTACAAACTGCTAGCAAACTTTTTTTTGCAATTTAAAAAATTGTATTCTATATTGTTGTAGCTTAACAATGTTCAAGTGGGCACAAAAAGGTACATTGTAAGGAATAGCATACAACACCCCACTCCCCTGTTATTTTGGAGTAAATATCCCAAAATGCATATAAATGATCACGTAGATTAAAACAAAAACAAGTTCACATCCTATTGTGGAAATCAAGAAAAACAAACATAAGAACAAGAAAATGAGGAACTGCGTGAAACCAAAATTAATAGATTTCTCTAGTCGTAATGGTAACAGTTCCCTGAACAATCACAGCATTTGTTCAAGATTCTTTCCTCTACTTACTGAACCATAGTTAGCAGCATTCACAGCTTGAAGGAAATTTGCTAAATATTGTTGTGGGATAGTTAGCAAAAATGTTCCTGTGTCTACAATGCCCTGGCAGCCTTCACTGCACCAGCCCGTAGCCTGGTTGCCAATAGCAAATCTGTAGAAACAATCAGAACATAAGAATATTACTACAACTGTTACAAACAACTAAAGCAAAGTACAATTGGTAAAATAAATAAAAGCCTATGGATCCTTAATCTACACAAAGCCTTTAACCATCCTTTACCGACTGGATCGCCCACAAAGCAGTGGTGGGATTCAATTGTTTTACCGCCGGTTTGGTGGATGTGGCTTGGTGGGCGTGGCTTGGTGGGCATGCTTTGCCTAACGCTGGCGCACAGCTTTCCCCACACCAGCTGAGACCTGCAGCACCAATCAGCTGGGAGGATAAAGAAGAGAAAAGTGCAGGGGCAGGTGGGAGGGCCAATCCTGTGCTTTTCTCTTCCTCTCAGCTGATTGTCAAAGGATTATTTTGCTCCTCTCAGTTGATCGTAGGCTTTTTTTACTACCGGTTCGGCCAAAAAACCACTGCCACAAAGGCCATGATGGATTATTGAAGTGGAAGGAAGGAATTTGAGGAACGCTGATCAAGACTGTTACATATACCTAAGAATCAATTGGATAGTAAGATGCCTTACTTCATGGAGGATTACCCATGAATATTGGCACCATAGTTAGGACCATGCATATTGCATAAATATTGGTCAATATTTTAAAATTAGTATGTCCAATAAATTTTCTGTGGTATTTATAGAAGCAAATAGGCACAAATATTGCAAGTGATCCTTGGAAAGATCTCTACTAGAAATTTTGGAAGCCAATTACCAGCAAATGTAACAACAACAGAAAAGCAAAATGAATGAGCTTCAAATATTAGATAGATTCATGTGTGAAGGAATGTATCTTCTAGATAGATTTCATACTCCACAGCATATTAAGTTATTTAACATATTTGTTCATCAGTATAGTTTGCTAAATTCAGTAGTATTTTCTTCTGACCAAACATGCTTAGGATTGAATTGATAATGGGTTTTTATCAAATTTTCTTCATAAATGTATGCCAACACTCATAAGGCGTTCCATGTTCTTGATCGAATGGTCAATTTTATTTATTACTGACATTGAAAGCAAACTTTTCTCTTCTTTTTCTTTATTTTTTCTTTAAACTTGTGGCTTGTAATACTAGGCCTCTGAATGCAGTGATGGAAGTAGTTTCAAATTTTCCTAATGAGAGACTCACTTGACACTTACATCACAACACAATACAACACAATACAACACAAGAGCACACAGTTGATACAAACTCAAGGTTAACCGCACCAAACTTGATTGCAGGAAATACGACTTCAGCAACAGAGTGGTCAATGTCTGGAATACTCTACCTGACTCTGTGGTTTCTCCCCCAAATCCCCAAAACTTTAACCTTAGTTTGTCTACTATTGACCTCACCCCTTTCCTAAGAGGTCTGTAGGGGGTGTGCATAAGCGCACCAATGTGCTTACCATCCCTGTCCTATTGTTTCTTTTATTTTTCTTATATGTACCCATTTCATGTATTCATAACTATGCATATACTTATACCTATTATCCTGTAAGCGATTGACAAATCAAAATAAATAAATAAATAAATAAATAAAATCTCATTCTTTTCAATGATGAAGCCTTTTTTAATAAGTTATTTTAAGATATTTTATTATTCTTAGAAATAAAAAATTACTATAACACTACTCTTTATATAATTAGATACATTAAGATGATTTGATATTATGAATATTGTTAGTATTATTGTTACTGCTAACTGCATCTTGCTCATTGGACTGTTGGCTGGGTTTTTTTACAAGTATTATATTTACATTAAGAGCTGTGGTGGTGCAGTGGTTAGAATGCAGTATTTCAGGCTAATTCTGCCAATGGCCAGTAGTTCAATTCTGGCCAGTAGTTCAATTCTGACCGGCTCACGGTTGACTCAGCCTTCCACCCTTCTGAGGTCAGTAAAATGATGGCCCAGATTGCTGCAGGCAATATGCTGACTCTGTAAACCACTTAGAGAGGCCTGCAAAGCATTGTAAAGCAGTATATGAGTCTAAGTGCTATTGCTATTGTTACAATATGTTTTATAGTGATCTGCACTCCATCCAAGGATGACAGATAGAATACTAGCCAATTGAGGAGTTGTCTGGCTAGCTAGCTGGATGGATGGATGGTGAGAAATGATATGCCCATCTGTTTTCCAAATTTGTATCCTAGGCAGAAGAAGGCCTGTTTTCCTTCCCACAAACAAATTTAGAAGTAGCAAATAAGTATTGGATTAATCAGTTCTGTCAAAAATCTAATACACCTAACCAATGGATGAGAGGAATAACCTTCCATCATTTATAAATGGTGAAGAAGCAGCTCATTCAAATAAAATGGAATCTGATATAAATCAGGAAGGAAAAAAGTATCACTTACTCTTCTATACCGATCTGCCACTGAGCCTGATCAGTCACAGGGGCCCAGGTAATTTCCCCAGTGTACATCTGGCGGTCAATGCCTCCCAATATCAGTTCTCCTCCATACTGAACAGTTGGTTGGCTGAGAGGAAAGTGAAAAAATGGGCAAAAGAAAGAGTTATAGCTTCTCATCTGCTTGTGGTCTTTTTGTGTAGAGTAAACAATCCTAGGATCATTTTCATCAGAAAATAAGGCCAGAAAATAAAATTAAAAAACCAGTTTTTGGATGAAATTACAAAATAACAATGCAAACTGAGCACAGATTGTTGTGTGTTAACACTGACTATCCACCCATC